AGATAACATTTATCATCAACTCCCCCCCCCCCCCACCCCCTTTTCAACCAAATTTCTATCCTTAAAAAAAATGATGTGTAGCCTACAGCCTTTTTACATATATGGAATATACACCACAATATATTTCCACACATCCTGCTCCCAAACCCCACTTCTAACCCTATTAAAAATATTAATCTGGTCCCTTTGAATTTTTTAGCAGTTTGTAGCCCTTAATTCCTCTTTATTTTTAAAGATATTTCAAAATTGTTGCTATATTGGGCTTGTCCAAATCAACTTTATGTTTTTTATGTACAAGAAATCTAAGAGGGATGCTGTCAGATACATACATTTGTATGTACATATATGCATGCATGTATCCGCTGCCATATACATCAGAGATGTGGTATCGTGGTTGGAGGGGGTGGGATGGGGGGCTCCTCCCCTCCCTCAATTAATCTTCTACTATTAAAATTGTTCAGGAAAGGCTGGTTGGATTAGGCTGTGAAAAAAGTTTGAACCTAGAAACACCTTTCTCCCATTTCCAACCCAACCTTCCCCACGTATAATAGGAAATTAGAGTTAGTATTTCAAGTAAATTATCGAATATTTAATTTATCTCCGCAAGAACGATACCACCAGCCTAATATTAAGTATATATTTATGAATAAGCACAGATTACAATTATTTTGTTCAAGTAATCAATTGTTAGGAACCAGTAAGTTGTAAGAACTTGTTTCCGATCCATTTGCTTATGTCAATAAAATATGTTCAAAACAAACAAACGATCTGTTGAAACCACGCTGTTGGTAAACTACAATTCGAATTTCCTCCATGCTAATAAGTATACGCAAGTCTTTATCAATGAATAAATACCAGACGTTAACCGCAAGATAATGGGTGCATAATATATAGTCAATGTATCATGCATAAGTATTTTTAAAAAACCATAATTTGTTATTACTTACCAAAATTTTGTCGGACTCCTATTTCTCCGAAGGTCGTAAAGGATACCGAGGATTTCCGAAAATTTTCGGAAGGCATTGCGCACGAAAACCTTGAAGTTGATGAACACGAAACTCTAAAGCTCATTTTCTCGTAAAAAGTTTTATTCTATTTAGCAAATTGTACATACCCAAAATTAGTGGGAGAACAATATCTAAAACTAAATACTAGGAGAAATAAGACATATATAGCAGATCTTACTTAATTTTGCAAGTTTTAGCTGGTCTACATAATGACGATATATAATAATACCAATATATACGTTGCTTGAAATTTAAATTTAAAAATTTCTATAATCATAAATTTTTGGCATATTTTTGGTATTTAAGGGACAAAAATATACTAAACTAAAATTAACTATTGTCAATTTAATATTAAAAAGTCATTAATTTTCTGTTCAGAGAGGGTCAAAATGTTAAGGCGACCGGTTTTGGTCTACTTATTCTACGAGGCTACTTAATGCCAATATATAAATATGAGCGGTCTCCTAAATGGCACAACCATATATATATATATATATATATATATATATATATATATATATATATATGGATCGTCCTCATAAAATGGCTATATTTTTATATTCAATTAGAATGAGTGAAATCACCAAAGTTTTACAAGCCAGCCGTAAGAATATTAGTTGACAATTTTTCCCCATGACAGTTTTAAAAATCAAAATATTTAATGAACATCTTAAGTTGCTGATCGTTATTTCTGAAACGTTTCATTAAGTTTATCTGATTCATGTCCGAGAAAATGTTCGGACAAAATGATAGGACTAGAGATAACGATATATCGCCCTCACTTACCTTTATCCAATAGCCACTGTGACATATCTATTGTGCAATTTTATTTTTGAGCTGAGAACACGATAGGTCTTATGAAAAGAAGCACATGTATTTTTTTAATCAAATTTTCATTGCGTGTTTTCTATTGTTAATCAGAAGAAAAACGCAAGAGATCTAAACCTTGGCATCAATTGTATCACTCTGTTGAGATGGGGGTCATTTTTCAACGGGATCAATTTCTTATAGGTTGCACAGGTAGAAAACTAACTCCTAGGGGTTCTTTTTCTACAAAAAAATAATTTTTTTCTACGGCTAGGGCTCATTTTTTGATAACCCCCCCCCCCGGTCATTTTTCTACGGGGGTCATTTTTCGTCTTTACAGCGGCACCGAACTGCTACTTGATACAGCTTATAAAAGGCGAAGTAGTTGTATTACATCATTTTATTGAACATACTTAACGATTCAGATTTTTTCTGCTTTAAGTAAATAAATAAATAAAGTTGAGCATGTAGTTCTTGAAAGCTGCAAACAACGAAATATTGGACAATGTATTATATATGCTATTTTGATAAAACGTAGTATTTTGCCCTATATCCAGTGTTCCATCTTTGCGTTGGTCGGGTTCAATTTCAAGTATCTACATATAACACATCAAAGAGGGATTTCAGAACGTCTCGGGAAGATTTTTTAATAGAGTCGCTTTAGAAAACTTGATTGTTATTTCAGTCGAATGTCACTCATTGTTCGGCATATATCATTCCAATAAATGAATATAATACAGGCGTGGATCCAGAAATTTTTCAAAGGGGGTGAAGAGGAAATTATTGTGGTTATAAGTAGTTAAACGACAAGTTAATAGGAATACTCAGGCCCGTAGCAACGGTTTCAAAAGTTGGGGGGGGGGGGGCAACTTCCCAAAAACTTTGACAAGCAAAAAAAAAAGGGGGAAACAACCCCTAATTAACTGTCCAAATCCTAGAATGTGCCAGTTCTCGACGTTACAGCGACAAAAAAGTGGGAGGACCACTATCTGAAGGAAAACTTACAATAGCAAAATACAAATTACAAATTACAAATATTTATTGGCGCAAACACAATTACAATAATTGGCAAAGGCACAACACATTGTAAGAATCATAAATTGTTCATAGATAAATAAACAATATTCTAGTATAGAATGTGAGGCTATACATAATTATAAATCATACCATCATTTGTACAATAATTATGCAATCATTTCTAGATACACATGTATGACATTTTTTAATAAATGAGTGTGTTATTTTCAGTATTTCTGGACAAAGGCTATTAAAGCAAAGCTTATCTTTTTGAGTATAAGACATATTTGATATTTTTCCTTGAAAAAAATTTATCAAGTTCCTTTCAAAAGTTAATCTATGATTATTGTATTTATGGCAGCTGAATAGAAAATGAAATTCATCTTCAATCTCCCCTGTGTTGTAAATATTAGAAAATCTTTTATCTGTGGGTATAGACAAATGTCTCCCTTTTTCTATGGCAAGGTTATGTGCCAACCTGCTAATAATTGATCTCTCTGTTTTCTTTTTTAATTTACCAGTGTATCCACAGCGTTTGAAATTATTAAAAACAACTTGACAAAATTTTAGTTTTGATGAGTTATGAATCTTTGGCATATTCCTCTTGTAGGCATTGATCTGATATTCTTTGTTTTATGCTTCTCAGAAGTGATTTTATTGAATTTTCTTTTTTGGTAATGAATGAAAATCCTAACTTGTTGAAAATTGAAAAAAATATTTTTAGTCCATGAGTTTGTTTTGACTGTTGCTTTATAGATTTTAAATACTAAAGTATTCTTGGAAGTAATTAAATGGTTCCAAAATTTTATACTTGAAAAATGTATTCTTGTCCTTCGGGATTGTCTACCTAAATCTGCTCTGCAAGGAGCATTAGTAGTTTTACAAAGTACTCCTAAAATTTCCTTAATTTCCTTAATAAACTTCATGTGATATTTTTTAATTATAGAATTTTCACCAATGTTATTATAAATACCCCAGATCTAACAGCAATAAAGAAGAACTGGTGTTACAATCGAGTCAAAAACTTTTTCCAAAAGTTTACATGGATTATCCAAACCAATTTTAATTTCTTAATCTTAAAATAGACTTTTTTTTGCCTTTTTCATAAATACTGACATAGCTAAGTTTAGATTTCCATTACATTTCAAGGTTAATCAAAGATAACAAAATTTTGATACTGTTTGAAGGACACTTCCATTATATGTAAATTCATTGCTGCAAAATTTACCATTTCAGTTAAAAATAAGGACTTTAGACTTCTCAACATTAATCAGTAGTTTCCAATACTCAGAAAAAAGTGCTCCCCTCCCAACCCCCCGCATTCTACGGGCCTGAAACTGTCAATAAATAAGAACACTTATTATAATATAATAAAGAAACTGATTAGATACATGTACAATTAAAATAAAATTTAAATACTTTATTTCAAATTTAATATGTTAATCAAGCCACCTTTCGTGATTTGAAAATTTGCCTTTTAAAAGCCCAGTATTTTATCTACATCGATCCGCTTTAGAAAGAGTGTGTGAGAAAATTCTACAATTTGTGTTACTGTAAGGTTCCACATCCTATTTTGTGATTAATTGAATCGAGTAGTTCTTCAAAGAAAAAAAAATAAAAACAATATAACAAACAAGAACAAGAAACAAGAATGCTTTTGCAAGCCGAAACATAAGTGTGTCCCCCTTGACCCCAACGGTGTTATATTGGATTTGAAAATATTAAATACTCTTTTAAAGTTGTCCAAAATTTTTAATTTTTAATTACAATCAGATGTCAATCTCCATCTCGTTTCATGTAAATAATCCATGAATTGATCATTCAAAATATCACGTTTCTGATGTTGACTTAAAACCGATAAAGCATTACTTCACGAAAAAGTATGTGGTAAAACTAGACGAAAGCAAAACCGTTTCTGGAAAAATAAAACAAACGAATATTCGGGACTTTTCTCTCTTTCTCTCCTCTTTCTCTCTTTTTTTAAGCAAATCCAAATGGGCGGGGGAGGTTGCAACCCCCGTACCCCCCCTCTAGATCCGCCACTGTTAATATATCATGTTTACACGTATATATAATTTGTCTTTCTTTCTTAATCTTAATACCGAAACGTGAATTAAAATGTTTGTGTCCCTTTGTGTAAGATTCATTTGAAATTGTTTTAAAACAATATTTTACTGATCATTCCAGAATGAAGCTAAATTCAAGACTCTGATTGTGGACGAGTATGGTAATGTATTTTTCTCAGACTGCTGAAAATGCACTTCAGATATAGATAAACAAGTGTAAATAACACTCATACACCAAATGCTGGCATGTCCTCCAAATTGCATTTGTCAAAAATTTTATGGCCGTTGAAAAGATTGATTTTATATCTTCAGTATTGCCAAACTTTGATGTAACCTTACACTTTCCTCCATTCGGACCTAGAGACGGAAACTTTACTGGCATTAAAGTTACTTCCAGGTAACTGTATAGTTGATGCGTTATTGAGATTTAATAAGACTTTTAACAAGTATTACTGTAAAAAAAATAAATGAATAATTTCTAAATCATTGTTTTATATTGTTTCATTGTAGTTAGATAGATGTAATATTTTCGATTAACGCTACAGGTATACATTTGGTAAACCAGTGAAGGGAATACTTGACATACGATACCTCCCTTCTAACCTTCGCAAAAATCCATGGTCCATGGAAGCTAGGAAGAAACGTGGTCTTGTGAACGAGATTATTCATCGCGCACCAGTACAATTACAAACACTTCTGAGTCTTGGTTAAATATGATATTGAAGTTAATTAACTTTAAAGAAATTTCTCCAAATTCAATAAATGTATTGATAAATCAGGACGAAATACAGTATACATGTAGTCAATATTATTTTTTCATTTCTACAGATAAATGGCGAATATAAGTTCGACATAGAGAACTTAAAGCTTAAGAGTTTTGACAGATGGCGGCGCAGTGAATTGTTGTTTGAAGTGAACGTAACAGAGGCTATAACTGGGAGAAGACAGAATGCTTCCGGTACTGTCAGATTCTATATATTTGGGAACGAAGTGAATTTCCTTGATTCGATGGCAAGGACGTTTAAACCTGGTCTTAACTATACAGTTCTGGTAAGGAAAAGAATTATCATATACTTCTTACCTATATCTAATGGTAATAAATGCATATGTTTATATATGCTTTTTCGGAACACCTTTATCTTTTATACTCAGAATACATAGAATCTTTTCTGTTTGGAAGAAGACAATTTTTAAGTACACACAAATACAATGGAGGGAGTTAGAAATAGGAATTATGAGTATATATATATATATATATATATATATATATATATATATATATATATATATATATATATATATATATATATATATAGATAGATAGATAGATAGATAGATAGATAGATGTTGATCAAAATAACCTAAAATAGATTGTTGTTAAATGAAATGATGAGAAACAGTTAATCAATAAAAAACAATTAAAATATATAATAAAAGTAAACTGGCAAAATAAGAACAGCAATACAAACAGAACTATCAGCCATTTGAAACAAACTATACTGGTATTTCTTGAATCTTTGCCAAAAAAGGTTAAGCTACGTAATATCATATATAGCCATACAACACCCCCCCACCCCACCCCACCCCCCACCCCCCACCCCCGTTACAAGTGTTCTCAAATAACTAAGATTAATGTGCCTATTTTGTTATGTTATCTGACTGATATGTCTACATAATATATATTTCATTGCATTTTAATTTCCAACAGGGAAAAATAGCACCAATTTTACTCCCGACAGCTTTAAAGGTGGAACTAACAGTGACTCACTCTCTTCAACCAGTGCCAACAACAACAACAGAAATGTCACCAATAGAAATGGGGCTCATCCAAGGCAGTATCGAGCAACCAGCTCTCAATTTTAAACAGCTGGGGCCTGTCTTCCTAGATGTTGATGCCGATGGCAATTTTAGATATGACATGACCATACCAGAAAATGTCGAATCCGTAAGGGTTGGTGTAAGTGAACAATATTTTTTCTCTAAATAAAAATGGAAAAACATCCGAAGATCATACAGCTCTGTTTAGCTATACTATTTAAAATAATCTCAAGAAGGAAAGACGCGAAGAATTAAAAAAAACTTTTGCTAATCTGATTTTTGTGCAATCTTATAATCACATACATCGATATGAATACGTTGTACAATAATGCTTTTAAAAAAATCGGTTACCTGAGTCGAATGTCAGCCGATTTATGCATTTACTTCACGGAGTACAAATCGCAACATCGCAAGGGCAAGCTCTAATTCAATGTATTTTTTCAGTATATGTATTTTTCAAGATTCTTATTTTCATTGTATTTAAATTATTTCAATATTTTATCTAGAAACAATGTAAGGAATTTATCTTGTCTGAAAAAGAAAACTAAATAGAGATTTCACCCTTATATGTATCACGGAATGAATTTGTCCGTCTAATACTGATTCTGGGTCAACCGTGAGTTTTCCTCTTATTATTGAACCCAGGTTCATAAAACCTGAAACAAGCCAATACGCGTTATAGTTTTTGTACTTTAATTTATATAGACTAAGCATGGAATATATTTACATGAGTTTGGGGTGATTCAGCACCAAAGGTCTGATTCCAACTGACTATGATTTTTAGCACCAAAACATACATACTGAACAAAGATAGAACAAAATAAAAGGATTAACAAAAAGTATAAAGAAATCAAGTATCATGTATCAAGTAAAATGGTGACATTTTAGCGGCATGTATATAATAGAATTAAAGAAGGTGAAAGATTAAGTGTCTATAAATATAAACCGATGTCAATTAGGAGATTAACTGTCCATCTCTGACTGTGCTTCCAGTAGGTTTAAGCTGTCCGGAATTAATAGAATTTATCACATTTGCTGAAATATACGAAAAGTTTTTATGACAATTTACACAAAGTCCGAAAAGTTAATTTACACAGTAATTTACAATAAGTCCGAAAAGTCGTATTTTACACCGTAACACTTACATCTTTTTGTTTTATTAAATGATACTATTTTGCTATTGAAAACCTAGAGGATTTTTAATATTTACTCAATACTTTTTTTTAATATTGCAAGAACTGGCAATTTTATATCTTGTAGAGATAAAATTCATTATGATAGGTCTTTTCCATTTCATGGTTCCCAGCTTATTTATATATATAGCTGTTAACTGAAATATTTAGATGTTACACTTTGTAAAAGAAATTCTTTAAAAATTAAATACAAAAGAGTTATATGAAAAGGCTACTGAAGCCATGCATAGTGTTTTTGGCAAATGTAGAAAACATAATTTTGAATTTTATTAAAGATCAGAAATAGTTGACAAAACTTTCATAAGGATGTGAAATGCGGGGTTATCAAATACTAAATTATACTAAAATAGAATTTGTAAATAATGTAATTGCATTGAAATGGGGATGACTTTTATAACTAATTCAAATGTATTGATGTATCAGTAAAAAAGACTTAAGATTAATATATTTATCAATTAATGCCCATCTGGATTATAACAGTTTGTTGGAAGAACTGGTCTCCAAATACTACATAAATTTTGTCATTGAGGAACTCCAGCATCTTTTTCATATCAACTTCAGAGTATTTGTGTGTCGAATTAGAGTGATTTTTAACAAAGTAATCTTGTTGATGACGAATCATGTGAAAATTTCCGAGTTCCGTTTTTACTAAAGAAGCAGTTGTCTATGATATCAAAAAGCCTAGTTTTGTTTTGTTTTTTGTTTTTGTTTTTTTTTTCACGTAAGGAATGGTTGTATAAAGTGTAGAGAAGTCGTACGTTTTGATAGTATAGACTTTTGAAAAATTTGGTGATTTTAAATTCTTTTAAAGTTCTTTAGAGTTTTTGAGGACCCACATCTGGTTTACACATTTCTAGAGTATGCTATAGCACAGAACGTCTAAAGTTTCTCCTTAACAGCAGTTAATATTTTGGTAAGGAGTAAAGATAGGGGCTCATTATTTTCATCGAATCCAAATGTTCGAAAAAGAGAGGATGCATTTGATTGGCATTCGGCAGATATCTGTGCGCTTGTGAAAAGTGAATATGTCATTTATCTGTCACATGAAATTTAGCTTTTTTCGGGTTCCTGTTAGGTAGGAAAAGGAAGTATTTTCCTGAAATTAAGTTTTGATTTTCTAAAAAAAAAAATTTATGAAATATGACTAGATGAGACAGATTCATTTTGAACAAAATGTTACATTTTTTAAACAAGTTTCTCTAAAATTTTCTAGCTCTGGGCCATCTTTTTTTTATGTGCATTTTAATCTAAAAAAGACGAGGAAACATCTGTAAAAAATAGAGAAAAGAGCCAGATACCACAACAAATTAACTTTTTTCCAAAAATCCCAATTGTGGAAATGTGTTCCTTCATTGTCGTTATAAAATCCACACTGTTTATGTACCGATGATAGCTCTGTAGCGTGTGTTTACAAGCCCAGAGCACTCAGAACATGTTTTTGCTTCGATCCTCGCAAGTCGTTTGTCCGTTTAATATTTAATGCTCTGCTTTATTAAAATTTTAAAATAAACAAATTTCGATTCCGTTGCTTCGAGAGTAAACACAGTTCTTCTAACTCACTAAAACTTAAATAAGCATATGCCTGAATTTGCATTAAATAGTATTGGCTTTTAACATATAAGTGTTTATTATTAAAATACGAACAATTTCTAAAATGCGGCAAGTTATTAAAATATAAGTTGATGATACAAGGATAACAACAGTCTTGTTTAAAGTGAACATTTTGTAAATTCTATGCTCGAAACAATGACTTTGTCAGCAAATACAATCTATCATTAAATGGAATGTTGGCTGGCATTTTTCGTACAAAGTTACGCCATTATTTTCACACATTTTTCCGGATTTTTTGCTCTATAATGACAAGGAGCACACGGCGGCTGTGACCGGTCGACAGGGGATTCTCACTCCTCCATGGATTTTGATCCCACCTCTGATGTTCTTAGAGGTCTGTGTGTGCTCTGATCTCAATATGCATCGTTTCAATGGTCTTTTGAACTTGATTACTGTTCGCTATCTCCATATGTATCTTTCTACATTTTCTTCAGTTTTTTTGTGAGAATTATGTTCATTGTCATTGTCCTGTACACAAAATAAGGTTGATTAATTTCAATAGACTCTCTCCTTAATAATTGAATACCAGCATTGAACAAAGATATCGCATTCGAATTAATATTCTATTAAGTATACGAAAATATTTTTTGTTTACTAAAAAAATACAATTTTCACTGTATAAAATTGACTTTCTCTGCCTCTTACTACACGCTATAAGCGCTAATTTTACAATGATGACCTTACAGTTGACGAATGCATTGCAATCAGTTATTAAGTTTACCTTGCTGATTTACCCATAGTTGCATGCAGTAACAAGCTTTGATTTAATTCCTTATTTGATTTATAACAGAAAATGGTTTAATTCCCTTGCATTTGGAGGAATTGAAATTTGATATCTAATGTCATAGTAAAAATTCCCATATAGATTTGTCCCCGTTAAGACGTCGCGCACAGAATTGGGGCCCATTTTGTAACGTCAAAATAGCGTCATTAAAACGTTTAAAGTTTATGTTTAAGTGAAAGTACTAAAACGTCCCAATATATAAATATTGCATGTAATTGAGTGTAACATTGAAAATTTTCACCCCAAGAAAACCATTGTCAACCGAGACGCAGCCGAGGTTGACAATGGTTTTCGAGGGGTGAAAATTTTCAATGTTACACTCAACTACATGCAATATTTATTATATTATACTGAATGTTTTATACAAATACATATAACAGTGAACCTTGCGCGCATAAATTCTGCGCAGTCACTATTTTTTGGAATGTCACCCGTCGTCAAGCAATGTTGACTGTTGCTACGCTGGAGGGCGTGGCTTCAACATTCAGCGGGTAATAGTGTTTTTTAACAAATGTTTCTCGACGAATCAGATTCAACTAATTTACATGAAAGTATAATATTATATTATACTGAATGTTTTATACAAATACATATAACAGTGAACCTTGCGCGCATAAATTCTGCGCAGTCACTATTTTTTGGAATATCACCCGTCGTCAAGCAATGTTGACTGTTGCTTCGCTGAAGGGCGTGGCTTCATCATTCAACGGGTAATAAATGCTTCTCGACGAATCAGATTCAACTAATTTAAATGAAAGTATAATATTCAGAAATGTTGACTTTTTCTTACGAGAATTTTTTTTTTTTATTATTGTCTTGTCATCTTTCATTCTCTTTTTTTCTTCTTTTTTCACTAATTGATATTTTATTCTGCTGATGACAGAATTGTATTTCCCCTAAAATAACAAGTTTGCAAGTAAATTTTTTTGACGGTACGTTGTCTAAGCACGAAAACGTTAAAAATTGAATGCGTAACAAGTTAGACTAGACATCCAATTTTTGCTGTTTTGTTTAAAAAGTTTTAACTTCTTTCTATTTTTTATATAAAATTTTATTTATTTGCACATTTCGAAAATAAGATTTTTATCGATAACAAGTATTCCACTTAAAACAGAAAAGAGCTCACATCTCTGATATACGTCTCGTAAAATATCATAATACGCTTATTTGTGTCATAGTAACAAAACTGACTAGACATCAAAATCACTCTACCTTCTCTTCAAATACTTGCTTATATCTTTTTAAAGAAACATGTGTCTACTTCTTGATTTGCAAATTTTATTATTATTAGTATTGGAAATTTATTAATGAATTTTGTGAGAAATCATCACAGGACATTATAGAAGTTTTGTGCAAATAGGCGGAAAGATCCATGTGGTCAAAACGAAAAAAATGACTAAAAACTACTAGCTCCCATCTTTTAGTGTTACAAGTTACACAATTACGTTACTCAATACTATGCGCGACGTCTTTCTTATTTACAACTTTAACGTATTTAACTTAAGGTGCTACAAAACTTTAAATTTTATAATTACTCCATTTTCTACTTGCAGGCACTTTTTGGTGATAGTACCGCTTTCACTAGCCTCCGTCAAAGTAACTCGCCCAGTGACAGCTTCATACAGGTCTCGCTAGATCCAAGTGGCATTCCAAGGGTAAAATTGTTTTTAATCTTTAAAGTTTGTGTACATTTCTGAGTGTGCAACGTCTTCTACGAGGTTCGTTCAATAAGTAATGCAAAAGGTCATCTAAAGAAGAGTTAATGAGAAAGTTTCTTCATATTTTTTATTCAAAGTATTCCCTCTTAACCTTTACACATGTCTAAGGTCTTTGTATCCATGGCCAAAAAACCTCAGGATACCCGTATTTAGAGATGCCAAAAAGAAAAAGATGAATAGTTCTTTCTATGGCCTATATGAAATGGTAAAGTCTTCCTTTTCTTGTTTTCATGCGATTTTGGAATAAAAAGGTCTCTCAGCGACTGAGATTTAGCAAATATGGGGATGACTAGGCTCTGTAAACTTTACTTTCTTCAACATTTCCTTTATTTTCACGCTTATTTGGGGCAGCGCTGTCAAGTAAAGAAAAACTACCCTGGGGTAACTTTAGACTTTCTTGACATGAAATCTGCTTAACTTTTTTCAGCTGCAATTTTGACATTTATAGTAAACATTGATGGTTCTTCCTTTGGGTGTATGTATATGTATTATTGTTAACATACTGAGTAAAAAAAAAACTTTAAGACTTGTCCAAATCCATTGCTTCTCTTTACAACAATAGTATGACAGTTTCTCTCTGGTTCCTCATTTTATCATTTATCTTCCTTTTTAGCTACAGAAAGTAACCAATGTATCGTTATTGTTATTCATCATCCAAGTTTATCATTTTTTTTTTACTGAATTTTTCATAATCCATATGGAAATAATAGCGTTAAAGACTAGTCCTTCCACACAATAAACAAATTTTTAATTCGGGTTCTTCAACGATTTTTGAAATGGAACACAGTTTTCACATACGCCCTCATATCCATCTTCTTAAAAGAGGTAATTTTTAAACAGTTTTCAGCTTATTGTTGTGCCTACGTTTACTTTTAAAAGTGAATTTCTTTGCAAGGAGAATAGCGGCAGATTGGGGTTTTCTATAATCAGAAGTTTTTAATAGATCTTTTCGACTATGAAAAAAAAATATGTAACTTAAAAATAATTCTACATTTATTATGATAAACTGTGTTGCATAACTTACTGAATGGCCCTCGTATTTTTCCAAGTGTGAGTTTAAGCGAAGTTCTCAATTTTGTACTGTTGAATTGAATTTTGAACTTTATACCTTTCCAAATACCGTAAACTGAGAAAGACTCAAGACAAAAGGTTAGTATTGAATGCCTTGATTTTTATTTATCAATTTAAAAAAAAAAAAATAAAAAAAAAAGCTTCAGAGTTACAAATTAGTATAACTCGTTTTCAATTACAAACACTTGAGGAAAATTTTGTTTTACAAGTTTTTTTTTTCAATATTATTTCGAAAGGCATTATTTTATTTTTATTTAAGCCTGTATTCTGTTTATGATCTAGACTTTTTTTGCTATCTTCAGATTTTCACGAAAACAAGGAGTTAATATGGGTCATAATTTTACGCTTCAAGATAATTTCTTTTTTTAATGAATACTTTTTATCTTTAGTCTGGATCTGTTTCAACGTTTGAAATCGAGACAACTGAGCGTATTCCAAAAGTTTACTACCAGGTGTGAGATTTTTCCTCTGTCCACTTTCAATTGTAAGGTATTTTGAATTAAAAGGGTGAAGAAGACGAACAGTGATCGATCTAAAAAAATCTATAAACAATACAAATCTGTGGAGAGGGCATAAAACAAGGACCCTGGAAATCCCAGAGATGGAATCAAGTGCCTAGGAGAAGTAAGCATCTCCTGTAAATCGGTAACACCCGCCGATAGACTTATGCATTGTTCAGGTAGACGGAACATTACATAGTCAAATTCAGTATAAAAACAAAGGCCTAACAACTGTTATGAAACGAGTCAGTCAAAATACGACACAATGATAGGCTACATTTGCTAACAAGGCCATTAAATCGATCAGAGAATTTGCGAAATGCCGACTTAAACGATATTGTTGAAATCCCTGTTACATCAACTTATATGTCAGTGGTTTGCCTCGGCTTAAAGATGATCGTACTTGTAACATGCTCTTAAGTATCGAATAAGTTGGGCGATGTTAACACCATATGCAGGTGATAGCGGGACATTACTACATAAATAAGGAAAGTTGATGACCGAAAAAGTGAAATCATTTTGTTTGTCATACAGTTTAGTTGTTAGTTGGCCCTTATCGTTTATAGTAAGTAAAACATCTAAAAATGAAACAGATGTGGCAGACTTTGTGGTGTCTTTTTTCACTACGATATATCGAATCGATATATGAATGAAGTAACTTGTTAATTGGTAATACATCGTCAATATATCTAAATGTCGAGTTGAAACCCATAACAAGTATTTTCATCTTCTCATGTAGCAGTTTTTAAATATATTCTGCTTCATGTAAATATAAAAACAAGTCAGCTAATAAAGGAACATAATTATCATCGGAATTCCAACAGTTTGTTGGTAGACTTGATCTCCGAATACTGTACAGCAGGAAATTAACCCGCAGAGTTAATTTTCGATATATTCGAGGAAATAAAAATTCCTCGAATTCAACATACAGTGAACAATTCTTCAAAAAATTATACGGATAAATAGAAATATTACCGATATCTGTTATTCTATCTGTGTTTCCTTGCAAACATAAAAACAGTAATAAATATAACGATGTCGACTATCTTCCTAATCATGCGGGTGTACGGATCAACCACTAACACGTAGTCATTGGTGTTTTTAAAGCTTAAAATTTTGATAAATAAACGTCTATAACTAACATCTGATCCTGCCACCCAGTAAATTAAGGTGCGATGTAATTACCTATACAACATTCATTGTTAGATTTCACCCGTGCGTATCACTCAGTTTTATTATCATAAATCAAGACACTTACGTAGTAAAGGCAACACTGTTACACATTAATTCAAATTTATTAACAGTTCAACATTTTGACTATCGGTACTGACAACTGATTTAGATTCAGGGGGATTTAAATATAATGCAGTAAATACTACTCTGTACTCTACTCAAAACAAACCTATAAACGAACACCTGCCAAAGGACTTCTTTTTTTACATGAATGTTAATAGGTTTGGATATACGACTTAAAATCACTTAATAAATTACTTGAGTATAGACTCATATGTATTTAAAAAATATTAAATAAAAAGTTTTAAAAAATTGAGAAAGAAAGAAATAAGAAAATTTATCTGAATGCATAACATTGTAAATCGTACAACTGAACAATTTGTCTGTTAATCAGGATCAGTACGGTGTTTTAGAATCGGCACAATAACGAAAGGGAAATACTTGTAATGTTGAAAAGATTTTCGTATAAACGACCGCGATTTGCTGCAAATTGAACAAATGGCGATTTTAACCTACTGTACAGTACTATATAAATGTTGTCAATGAAGAACTCAAAACATCCTTATGATATCAGAGTGTTTTTTAACAAAGTGATTTTGTTGATGACCAGTCAGACAATAGGAAAATTTCCGAATTCCCTTTTTATTGAAAAAAACGGTTGTCTATGATAGCAAAAAGCTTAGTTTTTAATTTATCGTGAAGAATAATTGTATAAATTATAGAAAAGTTGTACCTTTTGATGATACTGACTTTTGAAAGATTTTGCGATTTTAAATTTTGTAAAAAAAAATTTGGAGTTTATCAGAATCCACATCTGATTTACATCACTTCTGGAATATGCTGTAGCACAGTACGTCTGAAGTTTCTCCTTATCAGCAGTTAAAATTTTGCAAGGCGTAAGGATAGGGGCTAACATGTAGTAGAGCATTCGCTTGACCACGCAATGTATCTTAAAAAATTCCAAGGAGCTTTTGGAAAATTTGAAATCACAAGAATTTACCAAAATCAACAGCTTAAGAACTTACGACTTTTCAACATTATGCACAACCATTCCCCACGATAAATTAAAGTCCAGGCTTTTAGATATCATTGACATATCTCTTAGTTGATTCGATACACAAAGAGCATGCTCTACGTATGTACAATTTCTAAAACGAGGTAAATTATTGACAAACAAGTTGATGAAACAAGAATATCAGCAGTTTCGTTTAAAGTAATCATTTCGTAAGTTCTATGGTCGATACAATGACCTTGTCAGCAAATACAATTTATCATGAGTCAAATGCTGACTGACGTTTTTCATACTAATTGTTAGGCCATTATTTACATACTGAATTGTCGACGGATTTTACCGTTATTTCCCGATCATGACAAAGAGCACACGGCGGGTGTGACCGGTCTGCAGGGGATTCTCACTCCTCCATGGCACTAATCCCACCTCTGATGTTTTGGAGGTCCGTGTTTGCTCTGCTCCTATTCTGTATTGTTTAATGGACTTTTGAGCTTGAATACTGTTCGTTATCTCCATATATTTCATCTCTGTTTGTAAGGATTTTTATGAAGTTTAGGAATCCAATATAGGTAAGGTAGATCAAACTCATCTTGGTTGACTGAAATATTAAAAGTTTTTATGATTGAAATGTGATTTTGAAGAATTTCAGAAAGTGAACTGCGAGTATAAGTTGGATTTCTTAAAGCAGAATTTAAACCAAGTTCTAAAATACAGTTAAATAATGAGCCTTGCAAACAAAGACGATATTGTTACAAGCCTTGTTGGCTGAAACCATAACATTTCGTTTATGTAATATTTCTAATTCTTGGATCACCTTCGATTTAATGAGAACAGAAAAACGTACATATCTTTTATTAAATACTATATACTTATTTGGTCCTAGTAAACCTTTATTAATTCACAAAAACATTGCACACGATGAAAATTAAATTAAAACGCTAGAAGGAAAAAAAAATTGGATTTATTGGTGACATCTTGGAATTTCAGGTCCTTTCTAAAGGCGAGATAGTAGCTTCAGGGGAAGTCAATATGCAATTCTCGAGAGTAAAGAGGTTTCCTTTACCAATAACGACAGAAATGACACCCGAGGCTAGCCTAAGTGTTTATTATGTAAGAGAGGATGGAGAAGTCGTTACAGATGCAACAAGTTTCATTGTCAATGGCATCTTTAAAAATAAAGTAGGTCGCTTTTGGTATTCACAAATATTTTCAAAACATTACCTTATTTTACATAGCAGATGACATATTTTATCCCTCTTCAATATTCTAAGAGTTTCATACAGAAAAAACCTACTGATATTTTTAGGCTTTTAAGATCTCAAATGATTCTCTGTGTACATGTATAACCTTCAAAAGAGGTAAATTATCAGGCTGTCCTTCCGCATGGAACAGGTCGACATTAATTCTGACGTTCAGGAGACACGCCCGGGAAAGGAAGTTGTAGTGTCCGTCAAAGCGGATCCGGATTCTACTGTCCATTTGTTGGCAGTGGATAAAAGTGTTCTGATTGAACGTAGTGACAATGACCTCAACGAAAGCAGGGTAAACAATACAGATACCTAACCTAAAAATTCACGTTTGATCAACTTTTGATAGATAGGTCCAGTAGAGGTACTTTAGCATACAAACAAATATTGGAATTAATGCTGTTTATGTTTAATGCGCTGTAGGTGATTGATGAATTATACAGTTACTTGGGACGTTCTGCTAAAAACAGAAGGAGGCCCAAATTATCTAGGGGAAGAGATGCTTATTCTGTGTTCCGAGTGAGTTTAATTTTGCAATATTGTATAAGAATCATTGATTCTACTTCATTAATTCACAATGCACTCGTTAAAATTGCTTACGCACCACTAAAAAATAGAATCACTATTTCAAAACTTGTTCAGGATGAAGTTGATGTATAAATGTGTTAACCATTGTAAGAGTAAGGCAGTTAAGTCCCAATATTGATTGATGAGTTTAATATTAAATGAAGCGTAACAACCTTATAGCAATGCATTAAAATCGTGCTCACACTTCTTGGAGAAATCAGTTTCCAGTTTTTCCCCCTAGATTTGTGTTGTTTTTGTTTGCATTCATCAAAATCTTATGCATTATTTCATCATAGAAGGGCATAGTAGGGCAGTGAGTAGAGTGTCTGCAGTGCCTTTACAAGGTTTATGAAATAACTTTTAAAAGTTTAATAATTTTTTTTATTCTTCTAGTTAAAAACTGCTGCGACTAGATTAACAAATATGAAAATGTCTTCTATGTATGCATTCAATATACACGCTATAATTACTGCAAGGTTGCAACGTTAATCTGTGGAAATTGGAAGTACATTGGACCAAATGCGGATTCCAAATCACTGGATGATTCTAGGTGACATGATTGAAAGGTTACTTTTCATCATTTTAGAAACAGGGATACCACGGCTGTTCCAATGTAAACAGACCGCCATTGATATAATTAACTGGCAACTTCATATCAGTGCAGATAATGTGCGCAATCGGTTTAGAAAAATTGGTTTGAAAGCAAGAGGGTTATTTCAGGCTCTTGTATTGAAACCATACATCAGCAAATCCGACTAAATTGGCCAATATATCATTTTAGATTTACTTGTGCCGATTAAGCAAAAGTTCTGTTTGCAATGTAAAAATACTGATTGGTGCGTTAGCAATTTTTTCTTGTGTACATTGCAAAAGAAATTTATAAATATTTGTGTGTACTTTTAAACTAAGATGAAATTAAAGAATACTTTCCGAATATATATCTCACGGTATTCGAAATTCTGTTTCCTTTTCATGTTTATAAAAATTATCTCTATGGAATTATCTCTATGGAATTTCGTGAGCAAGATAATTGTTTTAATGCATAAGAGATTTCCGGTTGCAGAACAATCAAATGGCAGTACTTTCTGACGCCTTAGTGTATGAGGGGTCTAGTAAGTATTTTATTCCTTTTGTACCCGTTTCTAAACTACTCATCTGACACGAAAAATATTTTAATAATTTATAACTTATTTGCATATTTTTACGATTTAATCTAAATTTTGCCTTTTCCGTTGCAAGCATAAATAGGAATTTATAACAGATATTTTTATCTAATTTAAAAACTTATAAACTATCGAAATCATTCTTATTGACATCAATGCATGGCATTTATTTAAGCATTGAATCATTATTTTTTGAAAGATATTGTCTCATAACTGCAACGGTGTATGCAAACAAATTGAGTAACGCGCGTTAGCGCGTTATGGAGATTTGTTTGCACACACCGTTGCAATTATGAGACTATCTTTCAAAAAATAATGATTCAATGTTTATATTTGCATTTTTAAGTCCTTTCCTTGACTGCAAATTGATATTTATTTCAAAAGTCTGTATTATCCTTCGGGTAAGTTACATTTAATGGAAGAGCCATTGCAACAGCTTTTGTTCAATATGAGCATGAATTTTGATTTTCGCTTATGACGTTGCACATCCACGGCTTCAACGTTTGTGACGTCAAAATAAAACGTATACTGTAACCTTTTGACCCCCTGTCCGTGTTATGATATTTTGAATGCCGTAGCTTTCCTCAGACTTTATAAGCAAAATACATGAGGAATACAAATATAAATTATTGAAAGGAATATCGTGCAAAGGATTTTTTCTTGATTTTCTTTTAACTTTGCCTTTAACCATACATTACAGGGAAGCATTTCACTCGTCCAATCTTTCCTAGAAACTCTCGTCGCTTCAGTGATACTGCACAGACGGTTGTATTTCCAATAATGAAGGAAAACATAGATAGAGTCTCCTCTTCTGTCGGACCAGAACTAAATTATCATTCATCCCTCCCACGCGTGAGAAAATTTTTCCCAGAAACGTGGCTTTGGAGCAACTTCAGCACGGGGTAGGTGATGTTACTCCATTATAAGCATATTTTGTTTGTTTGGAGCTGATGATTTAGAAAAATGACGTTATATACTTTTCCAAGAATTTTCTGTACGGTTCTTCACAAATCAGAGAGCGGTTCATTTCTCGTGGACTAGCAGGAATATTTGATTATTGTGCTGTCATAATAACTTGACGTCAAAACTGTAGTGCAAACTATTTCGTTTCAAAAATGATAATTAAATGACAAATTATTTACGGTCAGTCATCATATTAGTAATGTAAATATCAGATATGAATTTTAATTTTTTTGAAAATTCATGGGATAAATTGACTACGCCTTACGCCTGCATATTTATCATGAAGTGCTAATGCTCTTCATGGAATATGCCGGTATGAAGCCTCATGAATTTTCGTAAAATTAAATTCTTTTCTTAAGTTAAGGTAGTCCGATCCTCAGGTTCTGAAAATCAGGAGTTGAGTAATTGAATGTCACTGAATTCTGAAAGTAATGTGTATTTACCCATGGTATTTCTTTAAAGTGCATCATTATAGTTAATTAATCACATTATTTAGGGAAAATTATGAAATCTCAAATATATTTTCAAGAAATGCAAAATAAAAGACCCGTTATACATTTTCAAATTGAAAAATTAAATAACTATAGGTATCCAGGCATTTGGAGAAAACTGCATGTTTTTAATACTTTTATACTAATTTATCTTCTATTTACTTCAATTGTTACATAATACATATTGTAAAAAGCTTGTGCTATCATTGCAAGATATCACAGATCACTTCTAATTCTTTATAATGCTAATAAAACTTGGAATCTTAAGCTATATTGAAGGAAATTTGATTTTTTTTTTCGAATTCGAATAAAAATAAAACCTGTTTTTATTTTTGTACTTTTATGGTGAACAAATTTCCTAGACTTCAAAGGACATTGAATCATATTGAGATGCATAAAATGGAAATTGTTGCATGGAGATTTCAATTTCAAGCTTCATTTTATTAGTTTTTGCAGTCAGGAGTTAGTTGTAGGTCAATATTTTTGTACACCAAATATGAAGTACTGATAGGACGTCTTTCTATGTAAAATAAGGAGTCTAACGATGTTGTTAAAACATTAAAAAAAATTAATTAATTTCCCTTGTAGTTTCCATGGTTACCAGTTGCAGACCTATTTTTGTATCCATATGAAGCAGGATTTATTCAAAAACTTTTACATGAGAGGAGAAAACACTTGCTGTGACCTTTAACTCGACAATTAGATATATCGACGAAGTATTTAAATTAACAAAAGTTTCTGCCATTCACATATCGACTCGATGTATCCGAGTGAGCTTGAAATAACGATATTACAGAGTCTGATCATTTGTTTCATAATTGGATATTTTACTACAAAAACAAAAGGTTATTGGTAACTCTGATTTAGCTCCAGTCTTTGGCACCCTTTTTCAGCTCTTCCAGGTTTCTTTTTATTTTAATATTTCGGATTTCCAATGTTTTAGTACGAGCATCACTAAAGAGACATAATTTGTCGAAATGCGCACTTGGTGCATCATAATTGGTACCGTATAAGATTTACATTGAAATGTTTGTGTAAGGTCAAATTCAACTTCCGTTAACGCTGTCAACAAGAGCCGAGAAATTGTAAAATACACTGCAACATTATCATCTAATGCATTTTCAACAAACTAGACAGTGATTCCTTATATTCACATTGATATGTGAAATAAAATTCTAAATATTAATCAAAAATGCTACCTATTTTAGTAGGCTGTCAACAGCAGGTCACTAATTATGTATGGGCACGCTTTCCTAAATAAAGTGACTTTTCATTGCGTTGTAGTAGATAATTGATAATTGGACGTAAGTAGAAGAAGTTTTCACTCAATGTGCAGTAAAGACTAATGTCATTTATAAGGACAAAGGTCAAATATCATGACGTCATCCTCTGATTCCTCTGATTTTTTGAGTTAAAATTTTTCAAATTTTCAAAATATTTGAAACCCAAGGGGTTTTTTTTCCTCATTTTGACATACTGTAATCATTGTTCCATTTCTTTTTTTTCTTTTGAGTTTCTGCTATATTTTATTTATACATTTTCTTATCAGAGATGTAGCATATTTAGGTGTGAATTTGCAATATCTGATCTACGTATGTTCAATTTTTACATGTAAGTGGACTCAAATATGCTGATATCAATATATTTTACTGATTTATAAAAAAAAAAAAAAAAAAAAAAAAAAAAAAAAAAGGCCACCTTAAAAAGCAGCATCACACATTCTTGTAATATATTGAGTCGACATATGAATAGAAGTATGACTATTTGATAATAGCTGATATATCTAATTGTCGATTTGAAGGCAATGGTAAATGTTCACTTCTTCTTATATATAAGTTTCTGAATAAATTGATTCTTGTTCATATGAATACAAAAATAGATATGCTAACAACGGGGTGCAATTGGTGCCCATGGAAATTCCGACAAATTGTTGGAAGACTGATCTATAAAAATTATATAGATATTGTCAATCAGAAACTGGAATTAATTTGTGTTTACTTCATAAAATGGTACTTATATGAAGTCATAAAGACTAATAAGAAGATTCTGGTACTTGAAATGCGATTCGCAAACTTAATACAGCTTATAGCTACCATTTGCGTTTACGCATGTTGACACAAGCGTCAAATCTTTGACACTAAATTGTTTAAAAAAAATACCTTGGGAATGTTTCTAGCTGGTTTGGTAAACGAAACCGTCTTTCCTTTTCATCCAATATATGTTCAAATGCTGATAAGTCGTATGAAACTGTTGGCCAGGGCCAACTAAGTGAGTTAGATTTATCATACCTATACTGAATTCTAAAACTTCATTAAATTCTTTGCAAAAAAAGAAATGAAATATATTTTAGGATCCAGTAAATATTCAACAAAGCCTTTATCCTTACTCATTAAAAAATTGAAACTATTTTAAAGGAAAAGTATTAGTATTTTAAGCAAAAACATATTTAAGTGAAGGTGTAAATCAAATATGCTTTCTAAAAATACTCCAAAGAACTGATGAAAGAATTTTATTTTCAAACATTTTCAGTCATCAGTTAGCCGATCTGTTTTCTTATATTACCATGAAGCAAAATTTATTTTAAAACTACCCAAGAAGAAGGGATCACTGATTTGAAATGCAAGAACGTGCTCTAAACACGATCAATTTTCGAACCGAGGCAAGCTATTGACAAAAATTGTGATGTTACAAGGTTTTCAACAACCCCGTTAAAAGTCAGCTTTTCACATATACAAAGGTCATTATAATGTCTTGTTTATAAATATAAACTATATACAGTTGGGTGGTATATTATCTAACATGCTTCATACTGTTCGTAAGGTCACTGATTTTACTTAATTTGACTATAGAGTACTGAACATGTCAACAATCAACAGGGGATCTTCCCTAGGCATTTGATCCCACCTCTGGTTTTAACCATGTTCGGCATTTACGCACTGTTCACGATTCGTTTTGTTCATTGAATTTATGAGATTGATCACTATTCGTTATCTTCAGCTTTAACATTCAAAATATTAATTATATTATATTGAAAATATCTGAAATTACTCAAGAACCTTTAATTGTTCTTTTTACAGTGCAAATGGTAGAGCATCACTACGTGTGACTGTACCCGATTCTATCACTACCTGGGTTGTTACAGCTTTTGTCGTCAATTCTAAATCTGGACTGGGTCTGCATGCAAACCCTGTTAATGTAAGTAATATCTACCTCGTTGTTTTCCTGTTAATGTAAGCAATAAACACGGTGTCGTTTTTCATGTTAATGCACCCACATGTCGCATTTTGTGTTTTAAGATATTATTTACGCAGCAAAAAGAACTAGAAAATATATCAATAGTTCCTTTTTTCTGTAATCCTTTTGCAAGTCTAATGATTAAACATTTATCTCGAAAAAAGATTTGTTTGGCATTTAATATAATGATGAAAATAAAGGATTTGCAATCACGTTTATTTGAACATTGTTTATATAAAAGTTATTTAAACATAGTATTTATTTTGGAATGTTAAAGGCAGGACATGGAAACTGTCCTCATCTGTTTATTTCTGCTCACAATTGAACTGTGATTACAAATGAACAACTTTTAATGATTTCTTCTTTATGTTGCTGATTGCAGATAAAAGTCTTCAAACCATTATTTGTGAGTTTGACCATGCCTTTCTCAGTTACACGGGGGGAACTAGTGGTCCTCCAGGCCAATGTCTTCAACTATCTGGAACGTGATGTTAGGGTAGATATGAGATTAATAATCTTCCTGTCTAATTGTCTTAATTGTTCGTGTGCTGACATTTTCTACCCAATTAAAATCGTTAATTTTTATATTTTACTTGGATAGGACATTTTAAAATTATTTTTATACACAGATTGTTTACTTTCGTTACTTTACTTTTTTAAGGTTCTCGTAATAATTAATAAAAATGAAAGCTTCAAGAACCTGGTGACCTATATACAGGACAATCAGGTCAAGAAAGGCAGATTCTCAGCCAAAGTTGGCCGTACTTTCAACGTAAGTCTTATTATCGTGTATATATATATAGCAAACATTTTTCCGAATATTTGTATACTTTCCATCTCTTTTCTTTTGATGATTTTTAGTGAAATATTATTTTTGTGATATGCATGTGATATCTCTGTCTATCGTCAAAAAGTTGATATATAAAAATGAATTGTGAGATAATATGCAGACCTCTAACAGTGAAAATATATGAAGCATTTTTTTTTTTTTTACATTTTTTGTTTGTTCTAGATGTCAGCTGGTGAGATCTACCCTGTGTATTTCCCTATCATTCCCACAGAGACAGGGGATCTTCTGATCAATATCACCGTCATCTCTACAGGACCTAGTGATGCTGTCATCAGATATCTTAAAGTCGAGGTTAGGCTTTTACAGGAGAAACTGCATACATTGTTTCTTTCTCTATTTCGTTTTAAATATTTTTATTTTGCAAAATGTAGAGAAATTTTCCATTGTATATATTTAACTCTATGATATAAAATAAATCAGATATCCCATTATATTTGTATCCTTTAGCCCGAAGGAATGGAAAAAGAAATTAACAACACCGTGTTGATAAATACTGTTAACACAGGGACCTTCTCAAAAGATGTTGAAATATCATTTCCACAAAATACTGTTGCTGGTTCTAGGCGTATTAGAACATCAATTATCGGTAAAGGTTTACACTATATTTAAAACATTTGTGGATTGAAAACTTGATTGATTGATTGTATGTGGTTTAACGTCTCATTCGAGAATTTTTCACTCATATAGAGAGTCAATATATACCGGTGAAGGGCTTCAAATTTAGACCTATACTCGGCACTCAGGGCCATTGAGCAGTGAGGGTTCTTTGTCATGCCAACGCCTACCGTGAAACGGGACCTTGGTTTTTAAGGTCTTATCCGAAAGACCCGTGACTTTCTTCTGGTGCCGGGAGCTTGGCGAAGGAACAGTCAATACCTATGTTTACGTCTTAGGTTTGACGCTGCGCGGCGAACGAGAATCGAACCCGGACCACACAATCACAAAGGATTGAAAACTTGTTCTTTATCTTAAAGCATTACATAAGCGGTCTAAAGATTTTTGACTCAATGTTTTTTCAATGTTTGATCATTTTAAATTCATGCCAAATAAAAAAAAATATACGATAAAGCACAACACTCTCTAAATCAGATATTTGAGAAGTTTTCATCATATATTGATATATTTCTAAGCCAAACTTTATTCCCCGCAGGTAATGTGATAGGCAGTTCCTTGAATGGTCTAGACTGGCGACGAAAGTCTCCAGGTGAAACTGGAGAAGAGAATATGGTGAACTTTGCTCCTAGTATTTTTGTACAAAAGTACCTCAAAACTACAAATAAGCTCACAGCCGATCTCGAGAAGAAAGAAAAGGAGACCATGATTAAAAGTAAGTTGATAGGCTGTAACTTGTCCCGTATGTCTTTTAGACGTGTCCTAATTGCAGCATTTAAAGCACCATTGTTGAAGACATAATGTGTCAAACAACTAAACGTTTGTAATTCATTTTTATCTCCGTTTAACAGGTTATGAAAAGGAATTGACGTACTTACATGATGACGGGTCATTCAGTGCTTTTGGTAAAAGTGACAAGTCAGGCTCAACATGGTAAGCCAAATATATCAGTTAACGGCTTACCTTCGAGAAATAATAATGTTAACCCTAACCTTTTTTTGAACTGTTTGATGTTATTTCAGCAAACGACTTACATTGATCAATTATAAGGTTAACCCTAACCTTTTATTGAACTGATTTGATGTTATTTCAGCAAAAGACTTACCTTGGAGAATTAATAATGTTAACTCTAACCTTTTATTGAACTGATTTGATCGATGTTATTTCAGTAAACGAAATGTAATTCCATATCTTGAAGGAAATATTTAAATATCTTTTTTAGAAAAGTATCAATAATAAGCAAAGTAAAGCGAAAACCTGCTAGCCACTGTAAATTTAAGTAAATAAGTGATAATAAATTATGTTACAGGTTGACTGCTTTTGTTGTGAAGTCATTCTCTCACGCTTCTGATTTTATCTTCATTGACGAGAATGTCGTAAAGAAAGCCGTGACTTGGCTTGTCTCTCAACAGAGAGAAATTGGAACGTTCAGGGAACCAGGCAGGGTTTTACTTAAGGAGATACAGGTACACTAGGGGTATATAAAATGTCTGATGACATATTACACTGTTTTATCAGTGTCGTTAAAACGTAGGGGACTATAGGTTCTCTCCTCGTCTGTCCGTCTGTCTTTCTATCTATCTGTCCATATGTCTGTCTATCCTTCTGTCAGTCTGTAAGTCTGTTTTACTTGGTTTTCCATTCTTTTTCTAATCACTTGCAGATATTGCGTTGATTTTAGTATGTGAGTGTACCTTGATGAGTTACAGGTCAAGTTTGCATTCTGTTCCGCCTTGGATGATTTTTAGCTGAATGATGGCCTTTTTAATTTCTAATGGTGACCAGATTACCCACTTGGTTTTCCACACTTTCCCCCTAAATACTTGCAGATATTGAGCTTTTTATGGTTTGTCGGTTTACCTTGATAAGTTATAGGTCAAGTATGCATTTTGTTCCGCTTCAAAGAATTTTGACGGAATTACGGCTTCTTAAATTGTTTTAGGGGAACCAGATTACACGTATCGGTAGGTGACTAATATTTTATATGCAATATCTCAAAATGCTTGTTTTTTGGTTTCTCAAAATATCTATTCACGAAATCGAAAAAAAAAGATATTTCTACATATTTATAATTTAAGTGAAGACTTGGATGAAATATAACTACATATATAGACTAGACTTAAAAAATGTTTTGTTTCTTTGGATTCACCTGTAATATTAGAAATACCCACCATAATCTTCCAGAAACTTTTTAAGAACACTTAATATAATTTCAATAACTATTTATTATTTCAAAGGGAGGATCAGCAAAAAGTGAAAGAGCCCTCACGGCTTTTACTCTAATAGCTCTCAAGGAAGCAGAGGTCATTCAAGGAGTAAGTTCACTGTATAAAAAATTTCTTTGTAAATATTTATGTATTATCATTCATAAAGAGATCAAAACGAAAGCTTTACATATCACTTGATTTTTTGACACAGAATTGGTTAATGTCATATTAATCAATTATTCTTATCAACTTTTTGCATCTAAAGGTGTCTGCATTGACAGGAAGAGCAATACAGAAAGCGAGAGCTTACCTGGAAGGTGATATAGATCTAATGGAGGATGTTTACGAATTAGCTCTCGTTGGGTACACTCTCCAGATCACCAACAGCCCAAGAGTCAATAAAGTGTTTAGCAAATTAAATACTAAGGCTACTTTCAAAGGTATGAATATTGTAATAGCCTCCATTTCAGTTTTTACAAAACTTAGCCAAAAGTTAAAAAGTGTAAGTTTCAAGAAAAGTGGGGGCTTTTTCTTTCTTTTTCTTTTTTTTTTTTTTTTCATTAGATGGACTTAAATATTGGTCCAAACCAGAGACAGGTATTCAGTGGAAGGGATGGCCTCCTCCTAATTACCAGGCCAAGGCTGTCGACATAGAAACCACAGCATATGCTCTGCTGGGATTCGCCATAAACAAGGATATAGATCCCCCTGTTCTCAAATGGGTTATCTCACAGCGTAACTCAAGAGGAGAATTTGTTTCAACACAGGTTGAATAATCCATTGTCTAATATACTTTATTTATTTTTATTCTTAGCTACTTTTTGAATATAAAAGCATCTTCAGGTGGTGAAGAATCAAGTTTGTTCAAATCAATACCCCAAGGGTAGGTCGGAGTGTAGATAGGCTATGTATCTTTAAAATCTTTTTCCTATAAACAGCAAAACCACAATTAATTATATTGATTTGAAAGTATTCTCAGTTAGTATAGATTCAAGTTTTATCCAAATATGCACAAAGGAACAGTATATAACAAATTTTCAATTCTGAACTGATATCTGCTTTTCTCTAGCTATAGAATTCAAGTGAGCGATTTGAACCATGGGCCTCTCGTTCCTTGTGTTATTTCATTTTTGTAGGACACTGTTATTGCTCTCCAGGGATTCCTGGAATTAGCTTCTTTGGTACACAATCCAAACTTCAACATGAGTGTAAGACTGACCAGCAAAACTCCAAGTGCGCCATACCAACGTGTCATCACAATAACTAAGGACAATATACTCTTTCTACAAACATTAGACGTATGTTCTTGTAAATTGCAAATTAAAACTTTCTTCCAGGTTATGGGGTTTAATCATATAACACAGAAATATTGTATTCGTTATTGTTAACAGAAATACATTACAGGGTCAAGCAAATGCTTCCCTTAGCCCCTATCCTCACTCCGTACAAAAATATTAACTACTGTTAAGGAAAAACTTAAGATATAGGGTGCTACAGCACATTTTAAAAGTTGTGTAAATCAGATGTGGATTCTGTAAAACTCCACATAACTTTTAAAAAATTAAAAATCGCCGATTTTTTTGAAAGTCAAAACGGACGTTTTTTACAACCAGTTAAAACTTAGCCTTTTTCATGCAACAGCTTCTTCAATAGAAATGGAAGTTGAAAAATTTCCTAACTTGTGACTGGTCATCAACAAAATTACTTTGTGAAAAATTCAGATTCTACATAAAAATACTACGAAGAATATATTAAATGATGCTGGAGTTCCTGAATTCTTTAGACATCAAGTCTTCCAACAAACTGTTGAAGATCTGATGTGCACTAATTTTACTTCTTTATTAGCTGACCTGTTTTTATATTCTTATGAAGCAATTTTTTTTTCAAAAGCTTCCACATGAGTAGATGAAAGCACTTGCTGAGAACTTCAACTTGACAATTAGATATGTCAACGATGTATTAACAATTAACAATAGTCAATTCGATATATCCCAGTGAACTTAAAATAAAAGACACTGCAGAGTCTTCCACATCTGTTTCATACGTATTTCGATATTTTACTGACTAAAGACGATAAGGACCAACTAACAACTAAATTGTTTGACAAACGCGATGACTGACTTTTTCATCGTCAATAATATCCCGCTTTCGACCATATATGGTGTTTACTTATCACAATCTATTAGATACTTTACCGGATGTTCTGATTACAATCCATTTTTGAAACCGGTGCACACTACTGACAGATAAGTGTTATTAAAGGGATTTTAACAACCTCCTTTAAAGTCGACATTTCGTAAATTCTATGGTCCTTTTAATGACCTTGTAAGCAAAAAATAACATTTGTATGTTTGACTGACTTTTGAGCTCGAAAAATATTCGTTATCTCCACATATTTCATTTGTTCGTTTTTTGGATCTTTGGGTCGTAATTTGGTTGATCTGTTTTTCTTCCAATGGTTGGGCCTTTGTTTTTATACTGATTTTGACCTGAATGTTCCGTCTACCTGTTCAATGCATAGAGCAAACGGCGTGCGTAACCGGTCAACAGGGGATACTTACTCTTCCTAGGCACCCGATCCCACCTCTGGAACATCCTGGGATCCGCTTATATGCCCTCTTTACAGATTTGTATTGTGCAAAGATTTTTTGAGATCCTTACATTTTGTTATCTTTAGCTTTCAAGATTGTTGTAATTATATAATGTTTTATTGTCCCAGATACCTGAGGACGTAAGACGTCTTGACGTCACAGCTAACGGAACTGGCATAGCATTGATGGAGGTAGGGGAAATATTATAAATGCTCACAATAGATAGTTTTCGTATGACATATTTTCCCTGCGAGTTACTTCCCTTTGCCACCATTTCCGAGGTCCAACTTGCGAATTTTCCTCTTTGAGCAACCAATTTTAAACTAGTATTGCAGAGATAAAAGGGCAAAAATCTTTCCAATACTAAAAATACGAATTAAAGGAAGCCTGTGTTAACATACATTCGTAAGAAAAATTATGTTATCTCTACTCAATTGCCCAGTATGACAAGTTTAAATTGGCTTAATAATGAAGGAATTCGGGCTTGTATACCTCTAATATGGCGACCAACGGGAAATAACTTTTTCTAAAATCGTGTCTATCAAAAACTATTTATTCTGATCTTTGTGGCGTGATATACAAGTATGTATTAAACTTCATGTCTAATGATTAAATATTTATCCACATTTATATTTCCTTTATTTTTAATATCGGATTGTAGTTAATCTAGTTTTAACCGTTATTGAAGCTATTTAATTGAAGGATTTTGTAAACCTATAGTTTTTAGAACGGATATTTATTTAAACACTTTAAACTTTGAGTATACTCGTATCAGTATTATTATAGGTTTTAATAGTAAACGTATTAGTGACAGCAAAAAAAGATAATTGTACCAAGATGGACATTTATAGTGTAAAACATACACTGAATTTATAATAAGAAAAAGGATTTTAATTTCATGAACTCTATTTATCTTGTTATAAAAAAAAATTGAAGCATGATTTTGCTACAATGAATTCAATTTTGTAAATTCTTTTGTGATAGAATTGATCAAAATAGACCGATCAATCCTATCGATACTTATTAATCAAAGTTACTAATTAAGATACTTGACTAGGAACAATAAAATTGGGAATTTTGAATTACATATGAAAAAGAGTTTAGGGCAAGAAATCCTCTGGTGCAGAAAGAGAGTCCAAAAATGTTATATTCATGGGTATACCTTAATTTGAGTGTGATGTCATGTTGGGGTTCATTGGTCAACGGACAGAACTACGCACATGCGTAGCTGGAAAGGTGATGGTAAGGCAGCCAAAAAGATATACTCTTATATTTGGGGCATGAATGCCCTCTGATTATGAAATTTCCTATTTAATGGGAGAATGCATTTTTTGGAGCTTTTCGTATTCTTAACTATCTGCTGGAACTTTTACAGCTTTTGGGCTTTTTTGGTTACTCTAATTTGTTCTAGCCCTCCCGGACATCTCTTGAATATTTTGGGAATTTCGTATTCAAAAAATATTGTTTATACCAATTGTGTTGATCTATTCCTATGAACTTCAAGGATTTAAAATTAAAAAAAAAAATATTACGATCACAGTGAATTAATTAACTTTTGAAAAAGGTACAAAACTTTTCGTTTGCTTACAGTTTTTAAAATCGGGCTTTTACATGAATGACATACAGATTAATGATACAGTCCTTAATGGTCTTTGACTTTATACAATCAATTTTAGGCTTACAAATTTACTGTATTATTCCAGCAATAGTTGCAACGGTAAAATTATAATAAAATTAAGAAAGCATTTTACTTTTTTAGTATATCATGTTGTAAATTTTAAATTTATTAGGGGGAGGTAAATGCAAAGTTATCATGTTGTAAATTTTGCATTTACCTCCTCCTAGTAAATTCAAAATTTACAACATGATAGTTATACAAATAAAAGAAAGTATTATTTTGTCGTAGATATCTTCATATTTCAATACTGACGAAAAGATAGAAGTGTCTTCCTTTGATGTGAATGTTACACTTACTGACGAAACAACTAGAGGGTTCACGGTGAAAGTCTGTGGAAGGTATAAGTCGGTATATCTATAAATTATGTAGCTATGAATTGGTATCGATATAACTCCGAAAGAGTCAAAGTTTCTGTAGTATCTTTAACTAAAATTTGTTTTATATTTTCCATGCAAGATGGTTGGAAGAGGGCTATTCTGGAATGTCTTTGATGGATATCGGAATACCCTCTGGAATGACCCCTGATTTGGATACACTCGATACATCTAAAGCCCCCATGTACAAACGTAATGAGATGGGATATAGGAAATTATCCTTATATTTTGATGAGGTATGTGTTCTGTATTGTTAAATCAAAACCCACGAATGCGGCTGATTTTTACTTATAAATGATTATTTTATCAGTGAGAAAAGCATAGAGAGTATATAATAATATTTCTTTACTAATTAGTTTGACCGTCAAGATCAGTGTGCCTCTGTATACATGGTCAACACAGATAAAGTAGCAGAGAAGCAGCCCTCTGTCATTAGACTCTATGATTATTACGAACCCAGTGAGTAGTCATCTCAATTTTTTTTTCATAAATAAAGGATTGGATTTTAAAGCCTACAGCTATTTCTTACCTGTCGACAGGGGATTTTTAATTCTACTAGGCACTGATCCCAACTATGGAATTTAGGGGATCTGTGTTTTATGCTCAGATCATAAAATGTATGGATTTTGTGATCTTTTATATTTTTCAAATATAGTTTACGTATCTCGGAAAAGTTTAAAATGTAACTTGTCATGAATTTCATGTCTTTAATTTTGTATAATAAAATTTGTTGAGATAATGATTTCTTTCAATCAGAAAACCAAGCTACAACATTCTACACACCAAGGATTTTGGCGAATTAACAGGTTTGTGATGTGTGAGGCACGCAGTGCTTCTGTTTTGCAAAGATTAACTAAGATACCCTCTACTTAAGGTCAAGATCTAGTAAATGAAAGGTGCCTACAGATTTCTCAAATTTGAGAAATAAATTTCTTTAATGGTGCTTTATAGCTTTAGCTTGGTCAGATAAGGTGTTTCGGGCATAATTTGTAGATGAACAAGACGAAAAATCATATTTTAAACTGTCATTTTCAATGGAAAATTAAGAAAACTGGTCATGAATCCGGGAGTTTTTTTTTCCATATCAGGCAAAGAAATGCATCCAGATTGCCTACATTCTCTCAGAAAACGGTAATTTGTAGGCACTTGGCCTCTTCTTTAAAATAATATTAAATTGAATATAGGCATCGGGATTACTTTTCACATGATTTCAAATTGAATTCTATGAAAGTACTTTATTTTCTACAAAATTCTACTAGAGTCATAAAGTACGGGAAAAAGAAAGTTAAAATTGATTATGACGTCATAATGGATCTAGCACCAAAAAGTTAGTCTGAAGTCATTTACTAGATCTTGACCTTAATATTACAACAGTCATTAATCTAGCCCAGATATAATCATAATACAACTGTAGTCATTTTGTTTATATTATTTCCTTCATAAAAATAACTTTGCGACATCGTCACTTTCATAAGAATTATTTTTAGAAATTGCGCATCTAATCTTGTCATCTTGTTTTTTAGCCTTAACAGTAAGGAAAGTGACTACATTCCAATTGAAATATTGGTGTTGTTTCTGAAACACTAGAAGAAGCAATCTGCGAGAATAATTATTTTGTGTTTACCCAGTGATGGAGGTTATATTTAAACATTACTGAGAACAATAATATATTCTCTTCTCTTAAATCTATTGAATATGTCTGTTGTACAATGATCCATGTTTTCTATTACACGTGTCCCTATGTATTATTGAATCAAATTAAGAGGAAAATTTTGTGTAGTTGATTAATGATGTATCTTTATTAATACATTTTCACCAGTTGCACTAAATAAAGTCGATATGAATTGGGCTAATTAAGCCTATAAATTGTCTCTCTAGTTTCTTGTAGATTGTTTTTAAACAAAAATAATTATATGAGTGATTTCTTTTTTATGTGATTGATGAACTTAAGAAATCTTTTTGTGGAGATTGACAATTATATGAAACATTAACTATGAAGTTGTACGTTTGTTGGATGACTATATGGCCCCCATAAATTCTTGTCATTTATAACATTTCTTTATCATAAAGGTTTAAGTCAAGGTATTATACTGCTACAAGTCTATTCATAGTCAGCTTTTTTTCCGATAAAAATGGAACTCCTAAATATACTTACCTTTTCACTGGTCGCTTGCAAAATTATTTTGTTAAAACATTCTGATTGTACAGAAAGTTCTCTGAAGTTGATATTAAAAAGATGATTGAGTTTCTGATTTACAGTATTTATGTAGATCTTGGAGATCAGTTCTTCCGGCAAACTGTAGGAAATTCCCATGTGTACCAATTGCACCCCGTTATTAGCAAACCTATCTTTATATTCATATGAAGCAGAATTTATTTCAAACCTTCTATATGAGAACAAGAAAACACTTGTTGTGGCCTTTAACTCGACATTCCGACATATCTACTACGTACTATCAATTAACAATAGTTACTGCCATTCATATCTCGATTGATATATCTCAGTTAACTTGAAATGAAAGACACCACAGAGTCTGACACATCAGTTTCATATTTGGCTATTTTACTAGAAAATGATCTTAAAAAGATATGAAAAACATAATGACTTCAATTTTTCTATTATCATCTTTCCTTACTGAGGTAGCAATATACACTTATCAGCTGCATAAGGGGTTTGTGTCTCCCTGTTGATTCGATATCAAGAGTATGCTCTTATTACGATCAATTTTTAAAAAGAGACAAGCTATTAACCATCAAATTCATGAAACAAGGATATCAACAGTTTCTTTTGAAGTCATCATTTCGCAAGTTCTATGTTAAATACAATGACGTTATCAGCAAATACTATGTATCATTAGGTCAAATGCTGACTTTTTTCAAACAAATTTTATTTATATAGTGATATTCAGCAATCACTCAAAGTAATATGTATTTACCCATGTTTAATTTTCAAATTCATCTTTAAAATTAATCATATTATGCAGGGGAAAATGTCAAATCTCAAATGTATTTCAGGATATGCAAATTATAACACCTGCTATGCATTTTCTCGATGAAAATTTAACGACAAATATGTTTCAGGAAAAAAATAGGCATTTGGAGAATTTTTTTGTTTTTCATAGTTATTTTTTCTTCTATTTATTTCAATTGATATATAAAACATATTATGAAAAGTTTTTTACTACTATTGAAAATTATCACAGATCTTGTTTATAAACATTTGTATTTAAGGCTAGATTAAAGGAAATTCGATTTCTATAAAAAAGTTTTTATTTTTGTACTTTTATGGAGTACATCTGTCAGCTTTTTACAAGACTGCTTCTAAAACTTCAAAAAACCTTGAATCACATTTAGATGCACGAAATGAAAATTGTTGCAGAAAAAGATTACAATTTCAAGCTTCATTTTGAGACTTTTTAACTTAATAAACAAAAGAAAGAGTTATCCTTCCTGGCTGAGGAGCCATTAAAGAGGAGACATTAAACAAGAAAAAAGGTTTTCTTTATTGCTGTATGAATCTTTATAAATTTGATATGAATCTTGTCTTTAAACGAGGAAAATTCTTTTTGGTCACTGTTCAAGTAAGATTAAATTTCATTATGCATTAGAAATTATAAATGGAAAAAGTAGCATATTTGATGTAAAATATTTCTGGTTTTAGGTATCTTAACATCTTGTAGAAGTTTAAGTTTGCGGGTTGATAACAGTAATTTAAGTTTTAGAAAGATAAGCATAGATACCCAAAATGTTCGGCTTATGAATGTAACTAACACCGATAAGATGTAATACATGTTGATTCAACGTAACATTTCCAATGAGTTAAGACGCCGGCGTCCTAGAAGATTAAGGACCCGCGCCACTTCTTATGTGCCGCATCAAGACTTTCCCCGCGAAACAATTCCATTGTTTGCGCCTTGCGAAATTCACTTAACTGACCATATATGAAGATGTTGCTAAACTTCCAAGAGCAATAACTCCTGAAAACTTGACAGATACCTTATCAATATACATAAAGTATGTTAAGACACCTTAAAATTTATTATTGTCTTTATCTGTTTCGGAATTCTACTTAATAAATTTGCAACCCCATTTCAAATTTCCCTTCACTGGCAAAGAAATATATATACCTCTGGTAATTCGGGGGGGGGGGGGGGGCAGTTCACGGATTTCTACTTTTTGTCAAATTTTTGAGATCGATTACTGTTCGTTATTTCACTTTTTCATCATAATAAGCCGGGAACCGTGAATAACATATGCAGGTTATAGCGGAAGACAGCTACATAAACAAGGAAGCTTGACGAGGTAGGTATCCCGTTTGTCATACAATTTAGTTGGCACTTATCGTCTAAAGTCAGTAAAACAGCAAAATATGAAAAACATTTGGCAGACGGTGTACATTGAATCGATATATAAATTGAAATAACTGCCGTTAATTGATGAATCGTCTTCGATATACGTGAATATCCGCTGGGGCGGAAGTGGGTATCCTTATAAAAGTGAATTTCTTTGTGCTTTCTATATTAATATTTCTTCACTTAGGGCAGTTATGTTAGTTTAAGAGTTGTTGTAAAATGTGCTTTATAAATAAAAATTAATTTCATTACAACATGTATTGGTAACGATCCTCTAATGAAACTAATGTTCAAATAACTATCTCACTTCCATTCTCAATGACCGTGTAGTGTAGGGCAGCGCCGCGAGAATTCCATCGGCATCGAAAGCAAGTTTTATGACTTGCCTAGATAGCCGAGCGGTCTAGCACGCTGTTCCTGTACTGCTAGGAGACAGATTCCGTAGGTCGAGAGTTCAACCCCGGGCTGGGGCGGAAGTGGGTATCCTTATAAAAGTGAATTTCTTTGTGCTTTCTTATATATATATATATATATATATATATATATATATATATATATATATATATATATATATATAATATAAAGTCGGCTAATTTAGGAGCACAATTATGTTCATCGTAGTTCTACGAGTTTGATGGAATACCTAATCTCAGAAGACTTCATACATGCTGTCAATGAGGTACTCCGGATCCTTTTAAAATCAAATTCGGTGTGCTGAGAAACTATTAATTTTTAACAAAATGATTTTTAATTTTTAAAATTTCTAAAAGTACTTCAGAGTTTATGAGGATCCACATCTGATTTACACTACTTCTAGAATATACTATATCAAAGTAGCTCTGACGTTTTTCATTAACAGCAGCTAATATCTTTGTAAGAAGTAAAGAGGGGCTTGTATCTTTGTTAGTAAGGAATTCTTTATAGTTTATAAATCCAGTTTAGATACGATAAATCGAATTCACCTTGGTTGAATAAATGTTAAAGGTATGAAAAACTGAAATATCTTTTTAGGAACCTCTATACATATTATTTATAATATAAATGTGGAAGTTTAGGGTTCCCTTTTTTAGGACCTTCTAAGATGATTACTTTATTGTTTTGATTTTC